TGCTTCAGATTGCAAGAAGATCGTCCAATTTATATTCTTCTGTCATTCTTTGAAAAGTTTGTTTTAAAATCTATGAAAATTTCAAAACTTTATATCGGATAAATTTTTAGAGGATGAAATCTTAAAATTATAAGCCTCAGATAGTCTAAAAAGGTCGAACGACTATCAAAAATTCAGATACAACTCTCATACAGTTTTCACTGATACATTTTTACTTCCTTGTACGAAGTAAAAAGGAAGTATTGTAATTGCGAAAAGTTTCCGGTAGCATATTTCAACGAAAATATCCATTTTGACCGCTTTCAATGCAATTTAACGATGTATTTGCGTGATATCTGTACGTAAGGACAGAATAAAAGACTCTTTTCTTCCAAAAAAAATACAAAACTGCTTTAAAATTAATTCTGAAGAGAATTTTTCATGGCGTCTGTACGAACGTATGTACATACGTACGTACGTATCTCGCATAACTCAAAAACGAGTAGCCTCAGAACGTTGAAATTTTGTATATAGGACTGCTATAACATGCAGATGTGCACCTCGTATTTTGGTTGCAATCGGCCGCACCAAACGTATATAAATATATTTATTACCCGGCTCAGTGATCTCAGTTTCTTTACTCTTATATGTTGGTAAATTGTACATTTTTTGCTTTAAAAATGATTGAATTATGTTGTTTTTATCTTCCGGTTAAGGATTTTATGCCTTTAATAAATCTGTGTGCAATATTTTTAGAATTATCAGCAATTTTAAAGTTGTTTAATTGCCGCTACGCCTTTTTTAATGGCGGCCTTTGATGTTCACATTTGAAACAGGAGACTAGTGGATTTGTTACCAATCTAGAGAAACTTAGCTTCGCAACAACAAAGATAACTCCTTCATTTATTATTTAAATCATGCTTAATCCTTTCTGGAATTTTTTCGAGGAAATAAGCGTTTAAGATTTACTTCGTAATTTTTAATATAGATATTTTGAGTTTTTATGTATTTTTGCCTTCTCGCGAAGTGAGAACTGAATTAATTAAATGAGAAATACTCAATCGTCTGTGAACAACTGTTTCTTTTTGTTTTGTTTGCTTAATTTCTTTTATACATCATTCTAGCTTTGTTATAGTATTTGAATATAACATGTGGCAACGATTAGATAATTCTATTCTTTAAATGATATAAATTTTGTGCATTATTAGTATTATGAACGAAATATAATACTGAAGTGGAGTCATCACTTTTGCGCAACACAAAAAGTGAGAATTGTAGCGGATTTTCGAGTTTTAATAAGTCAAATTGTTTTTGTCATACATATATGAAATTTTCAGTGTGTCATCTTTATACATAGATGATTATCTTTAGATGATTATCTTTCTTTATTTATTTTACTTAATAGTGTATAAGAATTTGTTTTATAAAGAAAAAACTAACAGTATTTTCCGAAAATTTAAAATTTGTACTGAAGCTCTGCTCGCAAACTGACAGTAATACAAATTTAGTTACAGTAATAATTTTTAAGTGAATCTAGCGCCAGAGTGTCGCTATGGTAAACAAATACTAGAGTGAATTTTAAGGAATGCATTTATTCTGTTGTGGTTTATGCGCTGTCGGCGAAGTAGATTTAATTCAATCCAATAAGTTTAAATGAAATGCAAGAAAAATGCGTATAATTTAATATTCCGTACAAGGACGTCATGTGGTGTACACATCAGATATTTTTCACTGAATGCGATGGTGAAGTAGTAAAATTCTAGTATCTTAGTCTGCTCGTTAAACGAAGATAAATGCGAAAAATCGTTTAAACATCAAATAAAAAAAATCTAAATAAAATTTTGAAAAATTCGCTTTACTGCATTACATTTTCATTGAGAAACAATGTTTGTATAAAATTTGAATTCGATAGTTTCTCAGGAAGTAGGTTGAAAATCGATGACAAAATTTCATCTATTGTGAAACACCATAAGTGAACTAAATAAAAGCTTACAAAAAATTAATTCGTCGTTTACTGTTAATTAAAATTCAGCATAGAATTTTACACGAATATGCCTGCGAACTTAATGCGTCTCTCGAATAATATGCACATACAATGTCTCCCAAAAGTGTTCGCACACTTAAGAATTTGAAGAAAAAGAAGCGCTGTAACACGGAAATGAATTCGAATATAAAGCCCAATATTCCTTCATTATCATCTCCATGTGATTTTGAATGAAATCAAACTTTTAATTTTTAATACTGACTTATTTTCTTTTTCTAAAATTAAAAGCGTAAGGAGGCATAGATAAAACATGCCACAAAAAGGATCGTACACCGAAATCTTTTCGTTAAATTTCATAAATAAAGTTATCAAATTATAGTCTGCCGCTTTTTTTATTTTTGCGTTTTGGTGACGTTTAAAAAATCGTTTGGCTTTATTCTTTGCTTGCTTACTTCGTTATATTTTATTTAATATTTAAAAATGCCTCGTAGTCGTAAGGAAATAACGAATAGCATTCGAAAATTGACCATTTTTTATCATAAGGGTGGAAAATCTGTTTTTAATATCTCTAAATTAGTAAATTTATCCCATTTTACGGTGCATTTTGTGATAAAATGCTTTAAAGAAGAATATCGGATCCAAAATAAAGTAAAAATAGGTTGTCCTGCAAAGAGGAATCGACGTGACTCAACGTGATCAGGGTTTTATCGTTAGAAAAATCTGTGAAAAATCCACGTTTGATATTGTAAAGATTTCTACAAAATTTACCGAAAAATTTTCTGCTTCAGTTTCACCTAAAAGTGTTCGACGAATTCTCAGATCAGTTGAATTACATGCTCGAAGAAAAGTTTTTGGAAAGCTAAGCTTTTATTCTCAAAATCAATGATGAATAAGCCTGAAGCACGTCTTATTTGCAGATAAAAGCAAATTTAACAATTTTGGTTCCGATGGCATATAACTGTATGGAAAACAAAATGAGGAGCTTATCCCAAGACAGTAAAGCATGGCGGTCGAGGTGTTCTTATGTTAGGGTGCATGTTAGCATCAGGGTTAAATCATTTAGTATTTATTGATGGCACAACGAACAGTGTTCTTTATTTAAATATTTTTGAAGATAATTTAAAATTATTCGCCTAATATTTGGATACTGAAAATAAATATATTTTTTTTATCAAAATAATCTTTTGAATCTTTATTTTTATCAGAATATCTTTTGGGCGTCTATAATTGTTCTCAAGGTCTGAAAACTCCACCTGAGTAACCAGATTGAGTGCCCAACAGGACACATTTGAAGAGAATTAGACCTAGCATTAAAACAAAAACCGAACTAAAAACAGTGATGATGGAAGATTTGAGGAACATTAATGTAGACATTAGGGAAAAAAAAAAAAAAAAAAAAAAAAAAAAAAGTGAACTCAATGTCCAGACGTTTGAAAGCTGTCATAAATATTGCAGGATATACTACAAAATAGCAACTGACAGAAATACTACATTTACTAGCATGTTCAGACTTCTTTAAAGCGTACGAAGGCTTTTGTGTGGTAATTTTTCTGTTCCTTTTTTTATTATTGATTTTAAAAGAAGGTTTTAATATGTTCATAAAATAATTATTGTAGTTTTCCTAAGAGAAATTTATAGATATTATTAAAATTAAAAATTAATGAAATTAGAATGAAATTAAAAAATTTTCATTCTAAAATAATATTTTTTTATTAATGCATAAAGCAATATTTCACTGAAACTCATAAGTATACGAACACTTTTGAAAGCCACTGTATTTCATGCATATGTTCAGAACTGTGTAATTTTTTTCCCTTTGAAAGAACTGATGCTGATAATTTTATAAGAAACGAAAACAAATTGACAGAAAATAAAAAATAAAAAAAGTCTGATGTGATTCAGCGAATGACTTCCCAGCAATACCATGTTTAAAATAACAACGACCTTTGAGTAAAATATCAAAGAGCTTGAAGTATTTTACTTTAGCTCTTTGTAATTTAAAACATGGAACTGATTGATCGTTTGTAAATAAAATCAGATTCGTTCATAAAATTTATAACTCAAAGTTTTTTATTCTATTCTTCCAAACAATGTACAGTGGAAAACTGTACAAGTTTTCCATTGAACATTACATTTTGTACATTGATATTACAAATTTTCAATGTTGTACACATTGAAAATCTGTAATTCTAAAAAAAAAAAAAAAAAAAAAAAAAAAAAAAATGTCTCCCTCGTCTTCTCTTTTGTGATGTCATTCATTGGTCCATTGGTCATACAATGCTTTCCTTTGAAAATGTTTTGCACTGACAATTTTCGCCGTACGTTGTGTCATTCATGTCATCCAATGCTATTTATGCTTTTGCAGTGTCTGATCAATTTGCGCAGAAAAAAAAAAGTGTTCCCACTTTTTCGAGCGACAAATTTCGAAGCTTTTTCGCTGTAACCGTAACCGTGAGAGAGCATATTTCCGAAAATATAGCTTTTGGTAACCTTTTGGCGAGCTACTACAATTTATCTTCTCATTTCCTTAATTTTGCAGCACATTGCGCAAAAAAAATTTGGACCAAAATTGGTCTTTTTTGTATTGTTTTTACAACTTTATTTATAATAATATTTTATTTAGAATGTATATATATAACTAACTGTAAATTAAATTAGTTCCATTTATAGTTCCATTTATAGATTTTCTGGTACGTTACTCCTAGTCGTTCTTAATGGTAATGAAAATAATCTAAACTCGGACTTCAAATAATTAAAATCTTGAAATATTTCTATTGTTGTATTTGCAGCAAATTCATAACTGAAATATCTTCGCGGGCCTCATAAAATAGCTTCGGGGGTCTCCAGTTTGAGACCACTGCTGCATTTATTGCATAGAAAAGTTTGTTAATTATATTTTATTATCATAATTATTTGTGGCGGCTAGTATTAGAGAAAGGGATCTGGCCCCCGATTCCCTGCTTTGTGATCACCCACTTTCCTTTGTGTTCTGTCGAACCGACTGAGTCTTAAATTGCGCTAGGGGCGACGGGATCGCTGCCACAAGGCCTCGACATGGCGCGGAGGATAGCAGCACTTCTACTGCTCTTGCTCTTCTCCTTCGAATGCGATGCGAGAAGAAAAACTCTGCAGCCGAGAAATGCCATCGAAGATGTCGATTCGAAGCGACTGGAGGAACTCATCGAAACCGAAGAATTCCTGGCCGTGTTTTTCTGTAAGTACTCTCCACCGAATCATCCGAAAAACTTTCTTCGTCCTTCCATTTTTATTTACAAGTACTTCGTGGTGTTCGTTTCAAGTGAGCTATTTTTGACTTAGAATGCGAAAATGTCAGATATTTCCGCATCGGTTCCTCGAAATTATTTTATGACATTTCGTCGCCGTTGGAAAAAACATTTAAAAAGAATTTATGATACAATAGTAGAGAAGCAATCGAAAAGCAGATAATTGGAGATGTAAAGTGAGCTCGATGATTAAGTACTGTCACTCGCGCGCAGTTCCCTAGATGGCGTTAGTGGTGCAACATTCTGGCAGAGAGTTACTAGAGTTGTGCAGGCAAATTGGTGATTTTAAACCGGGGAATTTCGAAACTTTTCTTCTTGCATGGCGATCTCTTTTGAAAGAATGGGTTCTTCATCGACCCCTTTACAGCTTTCTTTATAATACGTAGCATGCAATATAATCTACACAATACAATCTAATCTAATAATACGAATAACTGCACATAAATAACTTAAAAGTAAAACGATTTCATACAGAATCTGAAGAAACTTTTTTGGGGGATGTTTATGTTTTATTATTTTTGTTATTATTGATTTCTTTTTTTTTTTTTTTTTAAACGTTACACAAAAACAACAAATTTTTACAAATACGAATTTTGTTTATTATAAAATTTTTAAAGTTTTTCTAGAAAATTTTTATTCTTATGCCAAAAATATTATATGATTTATTTCTTAATTATTAACATTTCAATCTTTAACAGATTAGTATTTTAATTAATTTAAAAAGTTCTAGAAAAAATAATTATTTATTAGGTTTTTAATTATTAATTATTATTTATTATTTTTAATTTTGCAGAAAGCAACCCAGTTTCCAAAAAACTCAATTTTGCTATTATTTATATTTTTAATTTATTTTGTACCCTTATTTTTAAAAAAATTCAATTTTACAAATTAAAAGTTAATTGAAATATTTAAGATTTATGCTTTGTAAATTATTGTATTAATTATTAATATTCAAATGTAAACGAGTTTCTAGAAAGAAAATCTCAGGGTCTAATTGCAGAAAAATTCGATTTTAATGATTTTTGTGTTCGATGCAATTGTTGCAATTGTCATATCTCAAAAAACTGCTGAATTTAAATTTTAAATAACTTCTTTCAAAAGTATTCAACCTGTTTCTTGTTTCCCATTCTAGTTTTGTGTTCGTCGTAATTTTTGATTTTATTTTCTGGTGTTCTTACTTTTTACTTCCTTGTACGAAGTAAAAAGGAAGTATTGTAATCGCGAAAAGTTTCAGGCGGCATATTTCAACGAAAATATCCATTTTGACCGCTATCGAATGCAATTTAACGATGATTTTAAGTGATATCTGTACGTAAGGACAGAATAAAATACTCTTTTCCTTTAAAAAAAATTATAAAACTGTTTAAAATTAATAATGAAGAGAATTTTTCGTGGCGTCTGTACGAACATGCGTACGTACGTATCTCGCATAACTCAAAAACGAGTAGCCTCAGAACGTTGAAATTTTGTATGTAGGACTGCTATAACATGTAGATGTGCACCTCGTATTTTGGTTGCAATCGGCCGCACCAAACGTATATAAATATATTTATATATATATCCACTCTATTACCCGGCTCAGTGATATCAGTTTCTTTACTGTTATATGTTTTTAAATTGTACATTTTTTTGCTTTAAAAATGATTGAATTATGTTTTCATCTTCCGGTTAAGGATTTTATGCCTTTAGTAAATCTGTGTGCAATATCTTTAGAATTATCAGCAATTTTAAAGTTGTTTAATTGCCGCTAAGCCTGTTTTTAATGGCGGCCATTGATGTTTACATTTGAAACAGGAGACTAGTGGATTTGTTGCCAATCTAGAGAAACTTAGCTTCGCAACAACAAAGATAACGCATTCATTTATTATTGCCAATTAAATCATGCTTAATTCTTTCTGGAATTTTTTTCGAGGAAATATGTGTTTAAGATTTACTTCGTAATTTTTAATATACATATTTTGAGTTTTTATGTATTTTTGCCTTCTCGCGAAGTGTGAACTGAATTAATTCAATGAGAAATACTCAATCGTCTGTGAAAAACTGTTCTTTTTTGTTTTGTTTGCTTAATTTTTTTATACATAGTTCTAGCTTTATTATAGTATTTGAATAGAACATGTGGCAACGATTAGATAATTCTTTAAATGATATACATTTTGTGCATTCTGAGTTATAATATGAATGAAATATAATACTGTTAAGTAAACCTAGCGCCAGAGTGTCGCTATGGTAAACAAAGTGAATTTTATAGAATGCATTTATTCTATTGTGGTTTATGCGCTGTCGGCGAAGTAGGTTTAATTCAATCTAACAAGTTTAAATGGAATGCAAGAAAAAATGCGTATAATTTAATATTCCGTACAAGGAAATCATGTGGTGTACACATCAGATTTTTCTGTATTGAACATATTGGGTAAAAATTGATATATTTAAAAACTTTTTGTTGATTTTTAAAATAAAGTAAACGATTTTAGTGAATTTTACCTTATATTTATTTTATATGTTTTCTTCTTTGAGACTTGAGGCTTCCTTAAAACCTGAGAATAATGACAACTTAATCTCTTTCTCTTATTTATTAAATTCTTCTTTGGCGCATAAATAAGAATACATAGCTTTGTATATAAATGATTATAAACTTTTGTTTTATTTCTTACTGCGGCTTGACACTTGATGGTGTTTCGAATTTGATAAAGTTTGTAGCGTAGGAATAAAATTACTGCGGCTTGACACTTGATGGTGTATCGAATTTGATAAAGTTTGTAGCGTAGGAAAAAAATTACTAGAAATTATCTTCATCACGGATTGTGGATGGTCATCAGTCAATAGTGTTTTTTATTTCCTTGAACAAAGGAAGTACTGAATTGACGGAAAATTTCGGGTACAATATTTCGACGGAAATATCAGTTTCGGCTGTTGCCGAATCCATTTGGGCCAGGAGTTCTCAACCGATGGTACGCGTACCACGGGTGGTACGCAGAGAAGCAAAGTATTTTTAACTATTAAATTCAAAAATTAAAACAGCGATATCCTGATTGAGTTTTTCTCTAAGACTCGTAAATTTATATGATCTGAGCTTTGTTGCAAGTTTGGTGATGGTAGTAGCAACCGAGCAAGAGTGGTGGTGGTGGTGGTACTTTGCAGTGGTGGTACTTTGCAGTGCTGGTACTAAATTTTTGTTTAGATGGTATGCGTTAGTCAAAATGTTGAGAACCGCTGAATTCTGGACGACTCTTTTGCGTCACGTCTGTACATACGTCACGATATACCTTTTTGTGAATGAATAGTTAATTGAATTATCAGTATGTTATAGTCTTTCGGAACCCGGGCATCGGCTTTCTGATGACCTACATTCTTTTTCATGATTTTCATGATCTCGTAAGCTTTCTTCCTCGCAGAATTTTTTTTTTTTTTTTTTTTTACGAATGTTAAGCAAATTCGCTAGTTATGTTAGTCCCTATTAAATCTGCGCTTTATTCTCTATAAAATATGTTCCCCTGCTAAGGAAAAAGTAATTCTGTGTAGCAAGGGGTCAATATTGAGGGGTCGATGAAATATTGAGCCCCCTGGAGTTCAGTGATGATCAAGGGAACAGTCAAGTATGCATCGAAAAATGATCGGCATAATCAAGATCTTTCTGATTACCAAAAAAAAAAGCTTATTAATAAGTTATATAATTACTTGTTTTTTGATATAAAACTATATTATGTAGAAAAGAAATCGTATGAAATAAATTTAAGGAAGAAACACACTAAAATTATTTAACACATCTTAAAAATATTTTTTTTAAATACAGAATTTTTTTTATGCATAAGTACTACATAGTATAAAACAAAGTCGCTTTCTCTGTCCCTATATCCCTGTGTATGCTTAAATCTTTAAAACTACGCAACGGATTTTGATGCGGTTTTTTTTTAATAGATAGAGTGATTGAAGAGGAAGGTTTATATGTATAATAACATCCATTAAATAGTGGAGAAATACTTTTATTTTTGAGGTTTCTAATGCGATGTCGTAAATAATTACATTTTTTTCCGCTTACATTGCAAACGCAGGCTGTACCCTACGAGATTTATCAAAATAATGTACTAAGTATTGTACACATTGAAAAGGTCTACTGATTTAAAAATTGCGGGACGTAGCGTTTGCGGCGGTAACGGCCGTCACCATCGAGATAGATAAGGCCTGCGCTCTGAATCGAAACTGGCTTGTGACGTCACGGTTAAGGGACCCTCAGCAAACTTTTTGTTGGCTTTTATAAGTTGTAATTTTTTATTCATTATGTTTTAAGAAATGAATTTATGTTTACTTTTGACATCTGAAGCATCATCTCTTGTAATAATTACTAACACTAGTAATATAAAAATTTTCAGCAAAATTTATGATTATTTATTTTAATTGGAAACTAATTTTATATGAAATAACTGTCCTAAGGGGTTAGAAGCAGGACAATTATTTCATTACATAATATGTAGAATATCAAATGGAGTAAATTTGATTCTTGACAGAGTACTGTGTTCTTAAATTTAAATATCAATGTTTTTTGCAATCAAAATATCATTTTATCATGATGAAACTTAAATGCATATCTTTAGCTAATATAGCTTCTGTTCACTTTTATATATGTTATTATCATGCAATCAGTTTGTTTAAAATTTGTTATGCAATATAAATCTTTCTGAGAATGATAGAAAAGTTTCTAAAGTAATGTATGTAAGATTCATATTAAAGTAATTATATTGCGGAAATGCAAAATGAAATTTTTAAAATGTACAGTTATTGAAGAAGCAGTAGTAATTGAATTCATATGTAGACATACTTGTTTTCATTGTATTTCAATTCAATGCAATTTTAAAAACAATTTTTTCTAATTATCTTTTAAATTACAATCTTTAATTTAAGTACGTGGCACCACCAAAAGCTATGTAAGGTAAGT